AAGAAACTTGAGTCCTAATCTTTGTCCTCTGGGTTCAAAATGTCTGGATTCAAATTACTTTTAAATTGACAGAGTGCAGGGCCAACCTAAAATCTGAGGTCTTATTTCCATACATGATTGTACTGAAAAGTGTTAAATCTTCTAAATATTATCTTGCTACTTGTAGAGGAAGGTGATGCTGTAATTTGCAGTCTGGATGGTGTTGAAATTTTGCAGCACATTGGAATGCTTCACAAGCAGAAAGGCCTAAATATAAAAACAATAATCTACTTTTCCAGTTGCTCCAGAGAGGCACCTGTACAGTAGTGAGAGCACCTGGTGAAATCAGGAGAGAAAAAAAATGAGCATTTTAGCATACTCTAAAAATATTATTATAGTATAGATAATATAATGCAATATGATACAAAAATTATGTATCATTGTATGTTACACACTATTATTTAGTAATAAGTAATAAGCATATTATTTAGAGATCCTGTGGTCATGTGGTCAGAGATACTTTCTTTATCAGATTATGAATCTGTTCTTCAACTAAATTGGTGGGTACATCTTTACCTGGGAACTTTCTCCCCAAAGCAGAGTTGCTAATATGGATATGAAGGATGTATTTGCATTCCCCCATTTGAAAAAAATATTCCTGCCACAGCATGTGAAAGTCACGTTGCAGTGTCCTAGAAGTACATCCTGAAAGTTATTGTTTCAACAGGTTTTTGTCTCTTGGAGGTAGAGATATTTTCAGGAGGGGAAAGTTTGACTTGAACATAATGTCTCTGTAGGGGTGTTACATTGAAGAATATCAGACACAACACACTGATCTTAAAAGCGTGTGTTTACACCACCACAGACACTTTTGGAGGAATTAGAACATTTTGGTTCATGGTATCAATATAAATGACCATCTTTCCTAAGATATGGATAATGTCAGAACAACTTTATTTTCCATTTCGGTGAATAAAGCTGTCCCCATGAAAACTGCATAAAATCAGCTGGAGGACTTGCTGTTCTTACAGGAGCATATTCTGGGCTGGATTTCTTTTTCAGTCATTTTGATCTGCTGCTGATATACTGCTTCTTGCAGTGTGGATGCACCAGCCATCTTGCTATTTTCAGTTGTAGCCCACTGCTTCCTTAGTCTGTCTGCCAAATTCCGATAACAGTAGTGTTTTAAAATCCTTCCAGTTGTTGCCCTTGGGGAATACAGTCAAATGCTGCAAGCCGTTATTAATCATCTAGTGAGCTACTGAATAAAATACTTTCCTGTATTTTCATTTTCTGAACTTTTTTACAAAAGATTGGAAGCCAGGTCTCTTCTGCTGAAGCAGTTTTCAGGTCATACAGACTGTTCTGAGGGCACATCATATTCTGTTTCCAAGTAAGTTAATTTTCCAACTTAAATTACTCTTCTTTTTTTTCCTATAAATATTCTGTGTGGTAGGAAAACAGTTATGTATCTTGCATTTTATTGTAGTTCCTTTAAACTGTCCTTTACTGATATCAGAGAGGTGATGGCATCACCCTTCAAAAGTAGACAGTACCATAGAACGAAACTAGGGGGAGTCCATTTTTTGTTTTATGTTACATGGGAAGGTATAGAAAGGTACAAAATTGCAATTGTAGACTGGTGAAATTAGCTACATTCTCTAGGAGAAAATGACTTGACAGTAACATCTTTAGACTTTTCTGGGTGCTTGCTGGTGTCCACATAGATCTGAATATATAAATGTGGGTGTGTATACATGGTGTAAAATTCAGTAATTGAGAGGAAAATAAAATCTCTAGAAATGAGAGGTTGGAAAATGACTCGACTGCATTAGTTATTGATTTCCTCTGCTTTGCAGAAGCTCTTCTGAAATTCTTTTGCAGTAAATACTTTTATTCCTCCATTTTGAATTTTTTCTTTTTGCCTTCCAGTATCTGAGGAATGCTGGCAAGCCAAAACAAAATGGCACTGATTCAGTGTTAACCTTAGATAAAACAACCTTCTTAGTTTATCAGTATTGAATGGTTTAGCATTAGAGTAGCACAGACCAGCTGAAGTTGTAAACGACTTCTGCAAAGGAAAAGTGCATGATTATAATTTTTAATTGAGTTATGAAATACCAATGGTAGCCATCACAGCCTGAACAATTTAAAGCCAGTTTCTGTTTCAATTTAAAATGAAACAGTTGTCTGTTGCACAAATATCCTATTGTTTTCTAGGCTATGTGCAATCCTGAAAGTTACTTGTATGTTTGGGATCTGGTTTGACTTGAAGAATAGCTGGTGTACATCATTGCCTAAGTTATTTACCAGGATATTGGGCCTGTCTTCACCCAATTGGTAGAAAGTGCTACTCCTCCACCCCATTTCAAAAGTCAGTTATATTTAATCCTGCTGCAGCAAGAATGAAGGATCCTAGCATGCTTTGGCATGTAGAAATGCTCATTCCCAATCTGAGTTTTGCATAGGACAGGTCCATTAGCAGTCTCTGAAAGTATTCCCAAGTAAAGAAGGACATGGAGGATGGACTGATCTTAATTTCTTTTGTGAGGGGATGCAGGTACGGCAGTTAGTGTCACGAGGACAGCAAATGGGACAGTTGATGGAGGGTGATGCAGCCCTTCTCCCTTCAAGTTGGGTGTGCCGTCACCCTTTTATTTAGTGTATGTAAGCTCCTTCCATTTGGAGTATGGAAGAATACAGCAGGAGGAAAACTGTTCTTAAAAACTTCCCTTCTCCCCTCCCTCTCTCCCTTTCCCCACTCCCCTCCTCTTTTCCTCTTCCCTGCTCTCTCTCCTGTTCCCAATTTTCCCAGCAAAATTTCCTAGTCCGGTCATGAGCTAAATCTTATTGAAGCATCAGTAAGTAGAGTTCACAGTTGACTGCACAGCCGGTGTGCAGTGACCACTGCTTGTTAGGCCCACCCTGTTTCGCTGCTTTCTTTCCTCTGCAGGCTGGCTGTATGGGCATGTTGGCTCGTATCTTATGCTGCAGTGCAATCATTTTACAGTAGACTAGTGTTCAAGGTATGATGTGCACAGCAGCCAGCACCAGGGAACCCCAGGTGTTGGTTCCACAAGGTTATATCAGCATTATAAAAAGTTGGTAACAACTCCTGTTGAGTTCCCTTCAGTGCCATGCAGCTACTAACGGGAAAACAGGAGCTACCTCTAAGTTTTAACATGCAGTGTGTTTGTGAGTTAGGGATTTTCATCCCAAATCAGCCTCAGGGTCTGCAGGTCTGAAAATCAATGTCTCGGGTAACTTTTTTTCCTTGGTTTTCTCTGAACATTTGACAGGAGAGGAAGTGTAATTTAAAGGATCTAAAGTCTAGATCTGTTTCATTGTTTCTATTACCCAGTGTTTCCCATAACTTCTTCTGTGGGAATGCACGATCTGATCTGTTAACTGATCCAAGGGAATATTGTTTAGGTAGTTGCATTAATTTGTGTTTGCCATTAACAATTTTTTTGTTCATCTTCTTGTTCATTCTCTTTGAACTATGCTCTGTTCTTCTTCCTTCTTTCAAACGCACACAGTTCAAGAATCAATTTATAGGAGCTTTTGGAATTAGCATTTAGTAGAAAATCTGTTGTGGCTTTACAAAATAAAAGTACGTTGTTGACACCAGTTTCAAGTAGACCTGTTGTGAGTGTGAAATAAAAATCTGTAGGAAGATTTTCTGCTGTGGTATCTCTATTAAAAAAGTTCTTCGTTGTGTAATGCCTCATAGTGAAGTTGCTTCTATTTAAAGCATTGAGTTTGTTCTTGGCTTTGATCTACAGCTTTTGATCTTGAAAGAAGGATGTTGTGGCAGTAAAACAAAAAGGGCAGGAGAGAGGTTTTTTTCTTTTTTTAAGTGATAAAGGGATGCTGCCAAGATTTAGTATGCACTAATTGGACCTATCTTTATTTACTTAAATCTGTTTGCGAAGTCCATCTAATTCTGTATATGGAAGGGTTTGCTCAAATGCATGCTTTAATGAGCCTTATTCTTTTACAAGAGCACAGGTTTTCTTTTGAAGCTTTCAGGGAATTGTCGTAAGTAGCACAGAGTATAAATGATTTTTAAAATACTGAAAATACCTTACTAGCATCATTTTAACTATATCAAGTGTAATGCAGTCTATCCTTCGTTGTCTCTCATCTTAAATGCTAAACACAAAGCACTTAACGTTAAGTCCTAACTTAAGAATAGTGCTCAGATTTTGCATGGCTGACATTACTTGGGTCTCTCCCATCACGGGGAGTTTGAATATCCCCTTCAAAGGGCACAGAAACATCTGTTGAAGTCCCATGCCTAAATTTAATCACCGGCTTGCAGTCTCTTGTCGAAGCCAGCATTTAGCTGAGGCCTCAATGAAGGGCTTGCTGTGCTGTAATACGAATGCTGCTTTGGTTCTTGCTTTTAAGGTGCATTTCAGACCCTCCAAGGTAATTTAAGAGTTGGATTCTTTAGATGTCAAGCAAGTACTGGGGGAAATCTTGAAGCGCTTAACGGCGATGATACTTTCCCTCTTGAACTAGCCCCATTAGGCCATTCCTCTGTCTGTGACGACCCGTGCCGGAGGGTGTTTATAGGAAGGCTAACAGGAAAGCGTCTTTTCCATAGTAAGGACGGGACTCAACGGGAGAGCGTCTCTCTTAAAAATTCGACTTGTAAGCCGGTGACGAGCGTGCATGCAGAGGTTTGGAAGGGCCGTCCCGTCGGGGAGGGGGTCGGAGGAGCGCGGCCGGCGGGACCCCCGCGCCTGGGCTGGGCTGGGCTCCGCTCCGTTCCCCCCCGTTCCCCCGG